GGTATCTCATGTTTCTTAAAAATAAAGGATTTTCTCTTTTAAATATTACCTCCTGTTGGTGCCACGGCTCAGGAGTTCAATCAGGTAACTCATGTTTGTGGGTTTGGAGGATTTGCTTAGGGAAATTATATTGTTACTGCATTTGCAATTTGGGCTGAGTATGCATCAGAATCCAAAAATAAAATAAAAAAGAGTATGGAAATAATGTAGCCTCCCTAAAAGGAGCAGCAGCCTTGCAGGGAGGCCAGTGTTCCATCCCGAGAGATGCTTTCCAGGTCCGTGAGGGCTGGTAAGGCTGTCGCACGCTCGGGAGCTGCGTTTCTTCACCAGCCAAGTTCGCTGATAGCAGCCCAGATAACATAAGGCAGTTCTTACTTCCTTGAAGGAATGATGCCAATGCAAACAGTTGGTGGCAAATAAAAAGTAATTCTGGATACAAGGTAGACATTGCTTATCATACAAACGTGGTCCAAGAAATTGTTTTATTGTAACTGTACAATGGGAATGTGTATCTTTTTCTATTTTGCCTTTTTAATAAACTTATTCCCCAGGGGGAACATCTTGGTTTTGACTGTTTTTTTGTGTATTTCAGCTATGTCTCCAGCTGTTCCCATATTGAATTTGATTGCAAACTAACAAGTATGAGTTTTAACATTCATTTCCATTACTCCATTATTAAAGTGCTCCAAAGATAATGAGTGTTCATTGATGGCAAAGTCTACAATCAAGGTTGAGTGGGAAATCTGCATTTTGCCTTTTGTATTAATTGCTCTTCTCTGTGTTATAAATGCTCCCCCCAGCTTCTTCCCAAATCCTCTTATATGCCCATATGTTAACTATGAGGGGAGAATTACCCAGAGTTCAGCCATTTTCATGTTATGTGTGCATAAAGCAGAACACTTTGTGACTTCTGGGCTACCTGATGAAGTGATTGGCTTTGAAGCACTCAAGTAACATTCACTTCACGGGTATAATTTGGAAAGGGGAAAACAAAGAGAAAAGAAGGAAAAGAAATAGACTTTCATAGCTTCAAGCTGCATTAAAGCAGCATCTTCCCTGCATATGTATTAGAGTTTCCTGTTGGTATCTCCTTTGGTCACAACCCTTTCCCAGTGGATGTCTGAAAACAAGGCAGCAAGAGGTGCTTTCAACACCAGCATCTTCTCTAAAAAACTGGCTTTCATTAAAAATAGTAACAAAGCCTGTAGCTCCTGCTGTTGTAAACGGTCTTGAAAACACAAACCAAGAGTAATCTGGGCATAGATGTCCAATTAAGTTTTCATGGAATAATAGCTCAGAGACATGCGGGGTTCATCTCAACAGCTCTTTTTCTTGGATGTCCTGCATTTTGTATGTGGATTTGTCTTCTTGCCCTGCTCCTCTAGGCATGCAAGAGCTGTGGGCGAGCACAGACAACATGGAAGATCAACCCAATCTGCGCTCAGTGGCAAGGCACGACTTCATTTTGGGAAAGATCACCTGTTTTTCCTCCAGTGCAGATAAAATAACCTCCAAGGGACGTTATGGGCAGAGGGCAGCTGGGAGAGGAGCTGGAGCTGTGTCGTGGACCCCGCCGCGCGTGGCTGTCCTGCCTGTACGAGCAGCAAGTGGCAGCAGTGAGAGAATGCCCAGCGGGGCTGGGAAAAAGTGATTTAACCCCAAGACAGCTTTGCTGAAATTCAGAAATGCAGAGCTTTGTTACTTTCCCGTGTGCCTCAAATGGAGCTTTCCCATGAATAAAACATCTCAATATCCAGATCAGTACCCAGTCCAAATGCTGTCTCGCTAAATTATTGGCCACTTTTGCAGCAACGTGTTCCAAATTCTGTGTTTTACAGCACGGCTGGAGGCAGAGGGGAGACGGAAGGAGGAAGGGGGTAGGGAGGCAGCCACTCTGATCCCCTCCCTCCCTTTCCACTCACAGATGTCCGGTGTCCTCGGTGTCATGTGCTGCTGCCCAAGCCCTCACGCTGCAGTCAGTTGTGTGGGGTGTTTTACTGAGGTCCCCGAGCGCCTGGGCAAGGTCCCTGCTCTGCTCTGCCCTTCCCTGCACCTCCCGGCTTCAGTCCACATGGATCCTATCAGAGAAGTTACCTCGAGCAGCTGCTGAGCATCAGCCCTGCTTCAAGGGTCTTCATGGAGACCTGGTCTGCAAAAATACTGATTTATTGCTTCCTAAAAAAACCCCAAACTCTGAGCTAAGCAAAGTGTATGGCTATGTTTTAAAGATACAAAGCCCCAAACAATTTCATGGACTTCAGTGAGAATTGCAAATAACCGAGCGTCTCTGGAAGCACAGCCAAGAATTACTGCAAAATGAAACGAGTGCTTGAAAACGAGGAAAATCCCCACGCCAGGGTCTCTGCTGCAGCGCTCGGAGGCTTCTCTGCGCATCCTGCATGTTTAATGAATATTTAATCCGTGCTCTGAGAGGAGTGCAGCATGTGCGACGAAGCCAAAACTCTATTGCTTTGGAAAAGTTAGTATTTGCCATTTCCTGGCTTCTGAATATTTGATTTTTTCCATGCCGGTTTCCGCAGCTGCGGGTTTCTGTAAGCGCCGCTGTTAGGGCTGGTTCCTGCAGAGCGAGGGGCGACCCTCCCGCCCGGGCGCGCGGGGCTGCGCGGGGCTGCGCGGGTCCCCCCGGCCCCGGGC